TGGATACGAAAAGTTTGAAAATTCTGATTCCAAACTAATGGTGCACATAAACTTCAATATCTTTAAAGAAAAATTGGTTTATGAACTAACTGTTGATCATCGGTAACCATGGAACTGAATCACCTGACGTTGCTCCATTGTCTTATGGATCAGATCTTTAGGTCGAAGACTCAGGTTATGGCCTCCTAAGTAAACCACTGCTTCGGTTTGGACACACATGGAGTATCTCATCCCTGGCACACATCGAACGGTTTATGCATACTTGGTGTCGTCTTGTACCAATGTTTATATGTTGAAATAAATAATAAATAAATACTTGAGATTATGAATCATTTGAAGCTAGAAAACCATGAAAAACCTGGAAGCAGCAGACAACCAACCCGTCCAAGTATAGGACTCCTCAGAAGTGCTCATTCATGATCCGGCCTCGCGAGATTGCAACCCAGGTCCTATCGGTCTCACGCGCAAACTTTTAAACTCTAGACCACTTAGCCGTCCAGCATCCAACGGTGTTAATGCCTGGCTTCAATCAATCCATGATCTTCTGCAACAATTCATCCATTGTCCGAGGTAGATATCTATCTCTATCCGATATGAATTGAACTCCACTGGTCAAAGTTTCTCTCTAGAACTCCAGGAAATCATTGCGAATCCAGTCAATGGTGATTATTATTAGTATGAAGTTATGGAGATTGTTGCACAGTCATAAATGGATAGATTAAAGTTAGACAATAACATGGTTGAATGCCAAGTCAGTAGTCTAGTGGTTAAGCGTTCACGTACGAGATCGATAGGTCCTGGGCTCGAATCCCACGAACGGGATTGTGGATGAGCACTACTGAGGAAATGGTAATCCACTGATTCCAAGTTTTCAATGGTAGTCTAACATCAATCGACTAATGATCTCAATCAAAACTTTTAAAAGTTCACAAAATGTTCAGAGAAATCGGCTTAGAAGAAATATAAACTGAAATTCTGTACCTTTTTCATTATATCAAATACATTGTATGTTTAATGATGGTCAGTACAATAATTCAGTCTATATTATTCTTGTAATAATTTTATATTTTATCTATTCTTTTCTTATTCCCTTTTTTGTTTAATATTACTCAAGTGTATAATTATGTTTCATTTCTAATCAATCTTTAGTTTATTATTTCATATTTTCCTCTTGACAATTCCATAATCATTATTCTACTTCAAAAAGCAAGTGGTTATTTCTTCAATGACTTAATCTTCATGTTGTTACAAAAAAAAAAAAAAAACTCTTCTATATCATAAATAACCGTAAATACTGTAGATCACCAACGTAGATGATCTATGTCGAATGATTGCAGGCGTACTGGAATTAGACGAGAATGGTGTAAAGAACAAGCTAACTTCGAAGACACACAGACACAAATACCTTCGATGTATTCAGAGAAAATAGCAAGACCACCACAGCATGATTCAGTCCATGATATACAGTCAACTGAATGCCTGTTGGTTAGGATCCTAGTTTGAATCCCACTAGCGGGATCGTGGATACCTACTTTCAAGGAGCCCTACAATAAAACGAAACGGTCGTCCAGTGCTTCCACCTTTGCAATAGTGGTCTAACATCATTCGGTTAATGATTTCAATCAGTATGTTCAAAGTTGAATTTACGACCCGATCTTAGTTAAACACCCATTGAAAACCAAGTAGCATTAGACAGCTGTTTCGTCCTAGTATGGAACATTTTAGAAGTAGGCATCCACAATTCTAAGCGCAAGACTCGAACCTGGGATCATTGATTTCACGCGCTAACGCTTAAACAATAGATCACTGATTCAGCATTCAACGTTGTTAATGTCAAACCTTACAAACCACTATTTTTAAAATTATTCATCAAATATATATATATATATATATATATATATATATATATATGCAATAACACAAATAACTGAATGATTATAAATTATAGGTCCTGGGTTCGAATCCAGCAGGGAGCGGGATCTTGGATTCGCACTGCTAAGAAGTCCAATACTAGGACGAAACGGTCATCCAGTGCTTCCATGTTTTCCATGGTGGTCTAACTTCAATTGACTAATGATTTCAAGTGTAAATTATAACTCAAGAACTTCATTACTTAAAGAGGTACTACAATGTAATAATAATCTGATACACTTATTGCTATACATTGGATACTTTGAATAACAATCGTATGTTTAGAGTCTAAATAGATAGTAGATTAGTTAGATACAAAACAAAACCAAACAGGATATCTTTAAACTACACAACATATACAATAAAAGATAAAACTAGATAATGAAAGAACAAAATAGATATATAGACATAATCAAAGTGTATCTATACACTAAACATATAGGACTGGTAAATATGAAGTACACTATATAAGTACTTTCATTGAGATTATTATCTCAATAGATTTTGATGAATGTAAATTTAATTAGACTTGAATATAGTTTCAGACAGTGTATTTCAAAATATTTATTTGTTATATGTTAAGTCAATTTCTAATGAATAATCAGTGAATTGAACTATCTGAAATACTACCACTTTTGTGTTGTGGCCTACTTATATCCATATAAGTAGTATATAGCGATAGTCAGGCAAAGAATGTATTTCAACAGAAGATCGATAAAGAAAGAATGGAAACAAAACACAATAGGTATAAAAAAGCATGAACAATAAAAACTGAGACAATTGGCTGATATTTGCATTAGAAGCAGTGAAGTTTCACACGATGGATTGATATTTTGCAACTTAACAATTTACTATATGGTTAGATGGTGGCTGGAGCTAATCGACAGGAAACCCTGGACCCGAGTTTCGTGCTAGTTGGTACTCGTCAGCAAGGTGTACTTGTAATCTTGAGGGAACTGATGCTCTCTGATGGATTCTATCCCGTGTCACCCAGCTTCACAATGAGAGACGTTACCATTGAGCTATCCTGTAGGACTGAGATGTAATCCCAATTGTTTGATCACTGGGTGGTGATCAATCTCATGTGTGTCAAGTCATTATTAGAGCAGATCGAATGCTATTGACCAAAATGCAATGTGGCCACCAGTTAAGGTGACTCAACTCAACATACTGCACACAGTGTCGAGTTACCTAGACTAGTGGCCACACTGTAACTTGGTCAATAGCATACGATCTGCACTAATAATGACTTGACATACATGACATTGATCACCACCCAGTAACCAATCAATTGTGATTACTATATGGTTCTCAGATTTTATTGAGATACACTGTAATTATGTACTCGAATACAATTGATTGTCCCAACTCGTGTTTTGTTCAGTACACTTTCAACTGGATTGGTTCATATATATACATATATTTATATATCTGTGTGTGTGTGTGTGTGTGATTTAAAACTTCAAACAATACGATCAACCTTATTCGTTTTAAACCATAGAAATAAAAAGAACTGATCCAAATTATGAGTAGTATGAATCATTCCTAAATAAATTTGTATGATTTCAGTACATTTTTGGTCATGTATTAAACAAGAAAACAGAACAATGTATTTCCGTATGCAAAAATAAGTTTTAAATTGTTTATTTATATAGAGTTATGGAGATTATGTTGTTCTTGTTTGAGATCATCAATCGATTGAGATTAGACTATCAATAAAAACCTGGAAGCACTAGATGACCGTTTCATAATATTGTAAGAAGGAATATAGTCATAAACTTACTGACTTATGTTTGTTATCCTTCGTGGAGAAGCATAGGCCTTCCACCAGCATTCGACATCCAACCCTGTACCATGTAATTCTTTCAAGTTGCAAGTTATCCTTTTCATATCTGCTTCTCGATGTAATGTGTTCTTTGGCCTTGCTCTTTAATGCTTCCTTTCAGAATTCCAAGTTAGCAGTTGCCTAGTGATCCAGTTTGGTGATTTCCTTAGTGTATGTCCTAACAACTTCTAACTTTTTTTTCTAATTTCCTCTTCAGATGAAGATTGGTTTGATCTCTCCCATAGTAGTCTGTTGCTGATGGTGTCCAGTCAACGTAGACAACTATTTATCAATACTTGTACCTTCTTGATGGTGATTGTAGTAGTTCTCTACGTTTCACCTCCGTCTTGATGTCTTGACGTTCGTAATGAAGATCCTGATTTTGATATTGGTTGACAGACAGTTATTTCGAGTTACATTATAGTAAAATGAATAAATAACTACATATTTGATACATAGCTACAATTTATAAATAACTAATGAATTTTATCGATTATTTACCTTAGTAAAAGAAATGTTACTAATTAATTCACTTGATATTGTTTTACTTGAATCTTCCCATTGATGTTTAGCACTGCAATTGATCAGTTTCTTATTGGCATATGTACATACTGTGCGGATTGCCTTGATATTGCCTTAATTTACAAGCATTATAAGCAAAGTTGGATAGTGGCTAGCAGTGGAATCCAGAACGCATGTTTTGTCCTATTTGTGACTCGTCAGCTGAATGTACCTGCATCTCAGAGTTGATGTTCTCACTGAATGTCGAACCCAGTACCGTTCTTTTCAAATGCTATCATCAATGGGAAGATTCAAGTAGAACATTACCAAGTGAATTAAACTTCATCCCATTGCACAAGCAAGTGGTTCACAGGACTCAGTAGCTGAGTGGATAACGCGATGGTATTTGAAGCGAGTTGTACTGGTGATCGAGTCCCAGAATGAACATCAACTCTCGGATGCAGGTACATTCAGCTGACGAGTTCCAAATAGGACAAAATATGTGTCCTGGATTTCACTGCTAGCCACTATCTAACTTTGCTTATAATGTTACTAACTGTTCCACAATTTATTGAAATTCATTTTTATTTTTGTCGTTGTTGATGTTGTTTCATTATGGTATGTAACTACAGAATATACTGATTAGTTATACAATCGATATGAGGATTTAGTTTGCACGAATACGTCAATTCAGTTCACATTTCACAGTGATGTATAGTTGTTTCTCATTAGTAAAAGATGTAAAATCTAGGTTTTTCTCGTTATGGTTACCATAGATAGCTATTGGAACATAGTAAGTACTGAAGAGTTGTTTTCTCCTAGATTGAATATCCACCTCAGTGTTTATCTTAAGTATGCTTATGAAGACTTTCAACTTATCTTTCTTTGAAAAGGGGTTTTGTGGAGATTTTAGAAATTTCACTAATTGAAATCATGGGTCAATTGAATCTAAACCACCACAGAAAACCTGGAAACACTAGACGGCCATTTCCTCTTATTGTGGGGCTCCTGAGCAGTAAGCATCCACAACATCATCTCGTGGGATTTGAACCCAGGACCCATCAGTCTCTCGTGCGAACGCTGAACCATTAGACCATTGAGTCGGCCGGCATTCAATGGTGTTAGTGTCTAATTTCAACCAATACACGAAATTGAGCGACACATTTACTATTGTCTTCAATGAGTTACTATCTCACAACAGACCCGGTTGAACTGCACTGATCACAGCTTCTCACTAGAACTCCAGGAAATACCTCTTGAAGCCAGTCCCTAGTGAGTATATATTGATTAGTATTAGAAAGGTGTTTGTGAGTATTATAGTAATTTTAATAGTTGAGATCGTGATTTCTAATACCGTAAGTCGAGATCGTGAATGCGCACTGCTGAGGAGTTCCACAGTAAAACGAAACGGCCATCCAGTGCTTCCAGATTTTCCATAGCATTCTAGCTTCAATTGACGCATTATCTCAACCATTAAAATGACTATAATATTCACAAAACCTCTTCTGAACATAATATTTTGTTTAATGAGAACATACGAGAGACAAATTAAAAGTTCAATCAATTATCAACCGATTTCAGCAATTGGCATTTAATCTAATGAGTGGGATATATATGTAGGCTGTAACATATGACCAAATAAACATGTTTATTCAGATATGATAATAACACCATGTTATACAATTTGTCACTGTTTGAATAACATAATGCGTTCAATAAGTTAATTGAAGGGCTTGACAAAATCAAATATAGACAAACTTACGTATAAGTGAGGTGTTGTATACTATGTTTCAATTCTCTGATCCTATTTATTTAGATCATCAAAAGATAAATTTTTACTTCAACTGCTTTGGTGGGTGTCACTATATGTTGAGCTATATCAGAATTCTGTTTGACATCAGAGTGATCTCTGTTGTTCATTTTGATGAAATACTTATGAATTAATTACCCTATTTAATAAAGATCATCTAAAGGTTAAGCGATCACATGAGAAATCAAAGGTCCTGAGTTCGAGTCCCGCATGCAGGATAGCCGATATTCACTACTAAGGAGTCTCATACTGGGATGAAACGGCCGTTCAGTACTTTCACGTTTCCAATGGTATTCTAGCTTAGATCAATTATTACAATCTCCATAAATCCCCATTCCGATCAAAATCGTTGATACGAATTATTGATGTTAATACAGTAACTTGCGAAAGGACAATGTCAGGAACATTTTTATTTTTGATTAATAACAATAAACTCATGACATTTCATTGATTACTGATGAATAGAGACAAAGATTATATGGCATGATAATAGAAATGAGACTTGGTTGTTTTGTTAATTCATTTCTCTCATGATTTTCAAACGTTCCATTATTTCCATTCATTATTTTGACACTTTTCAACCTACACATTTTTCCCTGATCAAAACATTTTAGTGCATTAGCTTTTTAAGTTATACTGGGTTGAAAATGATCAATGTCAGAAAAATCAAAACATCGAGACATTCTACAAGATACTGTGGTATATGCTACTTATATCGACATAAGTAGTATATAACGCTAGTCAGAAATAGAATGTCTGGTAGCAGATGCTCTTGATGATCGGGAAGGAAAGAACTGGAACAGAAATCATTCGCTATGGAAATACAACAATAATGAAGTCTGAGACAATTGATTGACGTTTAGCAATATCACTGTATGGTTTTTAGATGTTCTGTTAGTTCATGTTCAAATATATTCGATTGTCCCTACTTGTGTTCTTGTTCACGACAATACTATCTTATGACTATCAAACGTTGAGTATACTGATTGTCATCTCACTCTGGTAGATAGTTCCAGATGGTTCAAAGTATTACTTACGTATCTTTAAACCACCTAGTAAATAATGATAAATTAATCCACATGGTACTGTGTGGAGATGCGAAACCAGTTAAAGAAGTTATTAATCTTTAGTGATTGAAGTAACTAAGGCTTGGTCTGTTCATGTTCATTCAATTTCTAACCGTAAAAACTATACTAGTGAGGATGTATGGACGGCAGTATTTGTTCATGATGTCATTAACGTTTGGTCTGCACCTTATAAAAGTTTGTGATCTTCACGATTACCGACCATAAAATTAACTATTCGATGTATATGAGAATTTGAAATGATACAAACTTAAGTCATATTCTAATATAACTATTCCCTACCTATATATTATTAATTTGAGTACACAAGTCACAACTGATGAGTGAAATTTATATCAATATCAATATGGGATTGTGGAGATTGAAAAGATTTTGATTCAGATCATGAAATGATTGGTGTTAGACAATCATTAAAAACCTGGAAGCAACAGAATGACCATATGGGACAACTCAGCAGTAATCATCCAAGATCTCACACGTGAGCCTCGAATCTAGGTCCTTCAGACTCGCGTGAAAACGCTTAACTTCTAGATCACTGAACAGGTATCCAACGGTGTTAATCTCTTACTTCAACCAATCCACAAAATTACACAACCACCTTCCATCGTCTGAGATAGACACTTGTCTATACCCGACATAAATTAGCTCCACTGATCACCAGAACTGCGAGAGAATTTTTGTTTACAAATCAGACAGAGAGTTAATCATACAAGAACTTGTAAACAGATAGTATATATGAATATATGAGTTTGTATGCCTATATGTATATAGTCATCAAATACTAACATCAATACATAATATATTCTAATAGTTGAGATCATGATTCAATTGAAGCAAGATCACCATAGCAAACCTGGAAGCACGAAACAGCCGTTTCGTCCTACTGTGTGACTCCTTAGTAGTGAGCAATTACGATCCCACCTCGAGAGATTTGAACTCAGGACCAATCATTTTCGCATACGAGCGCTTAACCACTAGACCATTGAGGAGTTCCACAGTAGGACAAAATGGTCGTCCAGTACTTCCAGATTTTCCTTGATGATCTGGTATCAATTGTCTCATGATTTCAACTATCTAAATTACCATAATACTCACACAAAACCCCTTCTGAAATAATAGTATGTAAATATTTATAATTATAAAAGAAAAAAAAACGAAAAAAAAACATGTTTCACGGTTGATTAGAAAATTTCCCTTTGATGTATCCTAGATACAATTGAAAATGGTAGTTTTCTGTTTTCTTTTTCTTTTTTTTTGTTTTTTCTTTGGAAATTCCCGGTTTTTTAAAATTTAGAATAACACAAATAATTGAAAAATATTGGGTGAGACTATAATTTATAGACGACGTTTGAGCGATGCTAGACTGACCTTGAGGACTCGAACACAGTACCATTTGTTTCAAACGTCATCATGTCTCAGAATGAATACCAACTCTGAGATGCAGACACATCCAACTGATCAGTCCCGAATAGGATGGAACACGCGTCTTGAATTCCACTGCTAGCCACTATTCAACTTTGCTTATAAAAGCTTGTAAATTAAGGCAATATAGAGGCATAATCGCAGTACTCACATATACCAATAACAGACTGAGCAATTGCAGTCTTAAAAACTGAATGGGAAGATACAGACAAAAAATACTAAGTGAATTTAAATTCACCACATTGTACAAGCAAATGGCTATCAGGACTCAGTAGCTGAGTGGATAACGCGATGGCGTTTGAAGCGAATGGTACTGGGCTCGAGTCCCAAAGTGAATATCAACTCTGATTTGAAGATACATCCAACTGACAAGTTCCAAATAGAATAAATCCACTATTAGCCACTATCCATTATAACATATATGCATTTCTAAAAGAAAATTTCTTTATCATATTTTATCAAATACATCATGGAAATTACGAATGTAAAACATCTTTAAAGTTTTTGATTGAGATCATGAACCGATTGATGTTAGATCACCGTTGGAAACGTAGAAGCACTGGATGACCGTTTCGTCCTATTGTGGGACTCCTCAACGAGCGGGACCGTGGATGAGTACTGCTGAGAAGTCCCAAAATAGGACGAGTTGACCGTCCAATGCTTCCACGTTTCCAACGGTGATCTAACATCAATCGATTCATGATCTCAATCAAAAACTTAATAATCATCACAAACCCTATACTGATAATATCTTTAAAGTGATGAATCCATTTTATGTATATTCATTATGTATATTCATATCATTACTAAATATTCTGTTATTATTAAAGTGTATAGTGTATAACCTTTTTTGACCGTTCATTTTATCCATTGATAGTTTGTTGTATATGTGTAAGATTGACATTCTTCTCCTTCTTCTCCTTTTACTTTTTCCTTTTTTTTCTTCTTTTCTTCTTTTCTTTTTGTAAACTTTTCTCAATTTTCTAATAATGAATGACAATCATTTATTAATATAAACAAAACAATTCATAAGGAAAATGTTTTATGAATGTTACATTTAACTTTTCTACAAACTAAAAAGAAAAAGATAGAAAGAAAAAGAAGAAGATAATGATGATGATGATGATGATGATGATGATGATGATGATGATGATGATGATGATGATGATGATGATGATGATGATGATGATGATGATGATGATGATGATGATGATGATGATGATGATGATGATGATGATGATGATGATGATGATGATGATGATGATGATGATTTGGATGATGATGATGATGATGATGATGATGATGATGATGATGATGATGATGATGATGATGATGATGATGATGATGATGATGATGATGATGATGATTTGGATGATGATGATGATGATGATGATGATGATGATGATGATGATGATGATGATGATGATGATGATGATGATGATGATGATGATGATGATGATGA